AAACCCTTCCCCCCCCCCCCCCCCACCCCATTCTTAGTTTGCATTTTGGAAAGTTATTTTTTGAATTATTTTTTCCATGCTTCGATAGTGTTTAAGTATGATGCAAGAAGATAATTTTGGAGATGATGATAAAAATGGCTTTGCTTTTGCCACCGTTGCAGGTGTTAAGAACAAGTGTAAAATATCTCTTCAGCAATTTTAGTTGAGCAAAGATGAAGATCTTTTCCTTTGCTTTTCTTAAAAAGCAAACTGCTGTGAAAATGTTTTCATTGTCTGCCAATAGAATATCTGCATGCGTCTTACTGCTAATAAAAATTTTGCTAAAGCTGAGGAAAGTTAACTTCTAAAGGTTTTTTAATCAGACTCAAATATCTGTTTGCTAGTTATGTTTGCAAGAAATATCAATGGAATACTTTTTTAAAGTAGATTGATTCTGTCTAGCATTGATGTTCTTAGAAAGTTGTGCACAGGTTTTGAGTAATTTAAGATCTTCTTAAAAGACTGCCTGACTGTAGTTTTGAAAGCATGTCTGTAGCAGTACGGTACTGTCTTTGTACAGTTTAGGTTTGAAGGCAATTGTTACCAGAAAAGCTTAGTAAAAGTAAAATAAAAGCTGTCAGTTGAGCTGCCTGCTTACGTGAACTGAAACATCAATGCAATATTCCTTTTATATGCACAGCAACTTTAATACCAGATTTTTTTTTTAAAACAGTCAAACAGATAAGTGATCTTTCTTTGGGGCTGTATTCCCACTCTTCTAATCTGCATCCACACTACCATTTTTCTTCTAAATTCTGTGTTTAGGATGACATTGAGTACATTATCAGAAAATAGTTTGGTTTACTTTATCAAGATTGTGCCAGTACTCCTCCATAAGTTTTGTACAACTTGTACTCATTCTGAGTAGGCCAATCTTTCTGTAAGATTCTCATTCATATCAAACAGAACTAAACTGAAATTTTTATTATTACAGGGATCTCCATTCCTACCTACTTGGTGACCAGGAAGAGAATGAAAACAACGCAAACCAGCAGCCTAACAACCAGCATGCTCGCAATAATAATGCCATTCCAGTTGTGGGAGAAGGTCTTCATGCAGCCCACCAAGCCATACTTCAACAAGGAGGACCTGTGGGTTTCCAGCCTTATCGTAGGCCTTTAAAATTCCCACTCAGGGTAGGTATATCTAACGCATTAAGAGAAAAGGGAAAGGCATTTGAAAAATTGGTGTAATTTTTTTGTAAGAAAGATTTGGCCCACTTGTTCTCAGAAGTCAAGTGGTGGGTTCATGTTGTTTCATGTTTTGTACAGTTTGCATCTTTCTAAAAAGTAGACTTACAGTTATTGTTACAGCTTTTTTCAGACTGTAGCTTAAGACCTTCAGTTACCATTTTATTTATGGGTGCCATACATGTTATGTATTATCTATTAGTTCATGTCTTATTTTCCTAATGGTTAGTAATGGAGAGAAGTATAATAACCCCACAGCAAACAGGTAGGTCAGTGTCTCTAACAAGGCATGGCTTTCAAGAGGGCATACTTTGGTCTTGTAGCTGAAGTGTATTTTAAACTTTATTGCTTTATTAAGAAATTAAATAGAGTACTTATGTTGATCTATATTAAGCATAGAAAGGTGTTATAATACTTGAAATTTCTAAATCCCTACAATTGGAAAGGAAATGTTGTTGGCAGATACTCAACTTTCAAAAATAATATATAGGTCAAAATAGATAAATCATTTTGTTGTTACCAGAACTCTGAATTAAGCAAATGTAAACTTAAACATAGCTCATTTACTGTGGTTTTGTGTATATCTCAATAATGGAATTAGTGGCTAAAGTTAGAACAGTGTAGCGTTGCTTCTGAATTTGCCTTAAAATGCTGAATCTACCAGAATTTTCATAACAAAGTACAAAATAAAGCTTTTCTTTTCCCCCTATAAATCTCAACCTAGTAGAACTGAAAGCAAATTTGAAAATATTTTAGAATTTCACAACTGTTGAGTTTCTGGGTGTTTGAAATTGGGGCTTGGGCAGGGGGTGGGCCCACAGGGAGCAGAGTTAATGCCTTCCACTGCTGTTCCTATCCTCTGAAATGGCTCTCTGCTGGAATGCATGAGCTACAAGACTGTTGTAGAGAAAACAGTGGGAGGAAGTAGCTCAGGGATGAAAAGGCTAGGGAAACAGAATGAATTTTCCCCTCTCATAGCAGCTGCTGCTACCTCAGTTTGGTTGTAACAGGAAGTCAAATCATGCTCTGACTGAAACCAATTTTTATCTAACATAAATATGCACTTACAGCTGAAAGGAGTGGTGCCAGTCTTTCCATGGCAATTGCACCTTTCTTCCCATTCTAGTATGTGGGTTTTTCGGCTTTGGTTAAGTAACTTTCTTATAAAACTGTTTCTCTTTGTTTCCTCTTTCAGATATTTCTTTTGATTGTTTTCATGTGCATAACATTACTGATCGCTAGTCTTATCTGCCTTACCTTACCAGGTAAGTCTGTTATTGTAAAACTGCAATTAAAAACAGCTCAGCATGTTGCCATGCTCAACAATGGCAGATGTTTTGAAACCATTGTTTAAAGTTAACAGGAGAAAACATGGAAAATTATGTCTCATTTTTAATGGTATATTATCAAATTGTAATAGTCTAAAGTCTTAATGATAGAGATAATACCTGTATTTAAATAACAGAGATTGACATTTCCTTTATTTGTTGTAGAATAATTTTCTTTTAAGGGCAGGGCTCGAAGTGCTGAAACAATCTCTGTAGTAGTATTGAGAGAAAATGAGGATTTGTATTCTTGCACCTGCTTTACCATTTAGAGAAGGAAAATATCTAGATTGTTACTAGGTCTTCTACAATATTTTCTTTAAGTAAATATTCTGAAGGTGTCATCATAACAGGTCACTTGGAAACTTTGAAGTGATATACATGTGGCTTCTTAAATATGTATGAATAAATACTTGAAACAAATCAAAAGCACTCTGTAGGTTTTTTTAAATTATTTGGAAAAAATTAAGACACACAAACGCGTTTGAATTTTCTAACCTGGCTACCGTAGTACCATGTCATTTTTACCTCTTGTATTAATGATCCTAAAGTCAATAATGTGTTGAGATCAGATTTAGGAATTACATGATGGTTTTAATAGCAGTACATAAAATAATTCCACTATAATACTAGTGAATAGAAACACTATTAAAAAATGAAATGTAGCAAATGAGTCTCCCATTTTTGTCAGAGAGTTTCAGAAGTCCTATCAGTAAGTCGTAAAATTTGGGTGAAATAACCCAAACATAGCTCATAAGATTTAAGTTCAAGCTTATGCACTAATCCGTTATTACCTGTGCAGTTCTGAAGGTTAGTGCTTAGGCTCTGAATAGTACAGTATTCAGTGCTTTGTTTTGCTGTAGTTCAGATCACATTGCTGGTGTAATGAAATTTTAGGAAAAAAAAAATTCTACATATGTATTTGGCATCATCTCTGCATCTGTTTACATAGTGCCTTACATTTGTGTTTACATTTGTGTCTTAGCGAGCTACTGTTTTATGCTGAGTACTATTTGTGCGTTGATATTTATCAGTAAATTTGAGAAGTGTTTTTTAAATAGGCATCCTTCCTTAATACATCAAAAAGTATTACTCTATTTAACAGTGTTTGTGTTTTCAGTATTTGCTGGCCGATGGTTGATGTCATTTTGGACGGGGACTGCCAAAATCCATGAACTGTACACAGCTGCTTGTGGTCTTTATGTGTGTTGGCTAACTATCCGAGCAGTGACAGTGCTGGTCGCCTGGATGCCACAGGGTCGTAGAGTGATATTTCAGAAGGTCAAAGAATGGTCTCTCATGGTAAGTCTTGAGAAAAATTTTTACTGAGGTTTTGAAAAAGCAGATAACTTTTAGCTAAGTTGTTTCATTTTTGCTTACAGGTTTTATTCTGCAAGGTATACTACATTTTCAAAAAAAGTAAAGCTGACAGATAATGATGAACGTGTCTCTACAGAGATGCTTGATACATATTTTCAGAAAGATCTTTATGATTTGCCAGATCTTTGTGTTATTTAAATTGTTTTTAAAGAAAATATAATTTTTTATTTATCACCAGGAGTTCAGATTCTCACCATGGCAACAAATTTGTATCCCACCTTTTTATCTTGGTTTTGAGGATTTCTATAGTAGATTTCTTGCCTAAGTATAGTAACTTTAAACATTGATGGAATAAATGATATCTTATGATAGACATGCTTGTGTGCTTACTGGACTATTACAGACAGAAGAGCAGCGTAAGTGTGTATTTCATGTATTACCACACTTCCCAAATATCTCATCCATCATTTTAATTTAGGAAGACTTAAGCTTGTTTAAGAAAACTCAGGAGCAATGTTTTACTTGTCCTTTGCCCCTTCTCCTGATTTTTGGATGATGCATATAAATTAGGATAATTCCAGAATAAAGAAAGATTCAAGCATAGTATTTTAACTGAGTCTTTCATTTTTAAATCAGAAATATTCCATAATGAGTGAATTTTTAAGGTTTGGTTTTAACTGGAGAAAAACTGGCAGTTTTGGAAAGATTCTTCTCTAATTTTCCAACATACAGGAATACTCAATGTGCTGAAGTGCTATTGGATAGTATTCCCTACTGATAACAGTCAAAGGTGATTTTATGGTTTAAAACTATACGGACACCAGTAGGCACAGTCATGCCTTTTTCTGGAGGGGTCATTGAATAGGACCCAATCTTGAAAACTTGCATTGCAAAACTATGTGTGCAGTAAAAATTATTTCTAGTGTTGTATGTATATGAATTAAACGTCTCTGTAGCTTTTTTTTTCTCCAGCTCTATCTGTTTGTGTAGTTTAAGTTACATTTTGAAGTTTAAACAAAAAGAATCCTCTGATAAACATATTAATTAGATATCTTGTCTTTTTTAGATAATGAAGACATTAATAGTGGCTATACTGCTAGCTGGTGTGGTTCCGCTTTTGCTCGGTCTTCTGTTTGAACTGGTCATCGTAGCACCTTTAAGAGTTCCTTTGGATCAAACACCTCTCTTCTATCCTTGGCAGGTCAGTCACTCCCATTCTTCTGCTGTTGATACCTTTCTTTACTTGGAAGTAAGGGGTATTGGAGTCCTTGTTTTGTGTTGGTTTGGTGGTTCAGAACATTTCCCATAAGTATGTTTCTATGTGACAGAGAAAAGACAGCCTAGGAATTTTAAGTATGAAAAGCTGAACTTTGTGGGATGACATCAGAGGATCTTTGCATTTCAGTGATCAGATAGACACTTTTTTTTCAAGAGCATAATTGTAATGTAAAGTACAGAAGTTAGTATGCATGTATGCACGTACAGATGTACGTATTCTGCCTGACCTTTATGGAAAGCTTTCTGCCTACATTTATGCAGCAAGAGGTTCAGATGATCTTTTTTTCCATACAAGGTTTTAATTCAGTGATGATACACGCTGTGAATGAAATTTTTATATGCTTTAGGATCATTCTGGTTTGGGTTGAGATGTCAAATCGTTAGTACAAGGTTTTGCAGTAGTAGTGTTTTGTTTTTCTTCAGTGAAGTCTCTCAGGTTAAGGGAGTGCAAAATTTTTCCTGCAAGTTGGTGGAAGAAATGAAGGTACAGTGGATTGAGTGACAACTGCTTGCATCAGTTAGGCTGAATGATGAAAGAACTTGTAACTCAAATAAACCCTGAGGGAGCCATGACTGAAAAGATCTCGAATGCATATTACTAAATAACAAGAAAGTGTTCAGGGATAGTGATTTGCTAAGCTATCCATAAACAAACTTTCAATTACTTTCAGTGTCCCAATGTTTGAAAGCCATAATACAAACAAGAATTTGGCTGCTAATTAAAATATTCCATTGTTTTCTAGTGCAACTATACTTTGGAGGTGACTTGTTAAGTAAATGGCTAATAGGTCAGGACATCATATGATTGCAGTGGTAGTTGATCATAGTTTCCAGACAGTTTTGGAAAGAATTTTTAATGTTAGAGACTCTAAAAATTGTATTTTTTGCATGTTCATTCTTTAAAGGTTTGGAATTAAGTGTACTGAAAGATTTTATTTTCATGTGACAGAGCTTCCTCTGTCAAGTTAGAGAGATTTGAGTCTCGTTCTGAATTAACAAGGAGCTATTGAAATTGAGAATAATTTCCATTTTTCACAAAAGAGAATAGTTATACAAATGTTACATGCTTGAGCAAACATGGAGCTACTTTAATTTTGTCATAAGTTTTTGAAATTTTGAATGTATGTGGGGTAAGACACATTAATAAAAACTATCTTTTTAAATAATTGGTTAAAGAAAATTTATTTCCCGAGCAGTTGAAAAAAGTAAATTAACCTATGATGTCTTAAGTCTTACCAGTTCTGTAGCTGTTTATTCTGACTTGTCAGCCTATAGTTTGCATTATATTTTTGGTGGTTTTTATTGAAGAATCTCTTAGAAATATCTGTAATCCAGGAAGGATTGACTCATGATATGTAGTGTTTACTAGAAGCCTGTAATTACATTGCATTCTTTTAATTCCATGCCATAATAGTTGTGGTATATGTTAAAACATAAATTTTCCTCTGAATAGTATGATGGTCTTTTGTGAAGAGCATTGCCTTGCTTTGTTTAACCTTTCTCACATCAGGTAGGGTTTTGTGAACAATTAAAATTTAAAATAAGAAAAAACCCTTGTTTCCTGACTTGTGTGAGCACTTTTGTATGTTGTTTCTTTTCTTTCATAAAGGAATAAAAGTAACATATATTTCTAGGTAGATGTTAACTGGTGTTAAATAGTTTGTACAGAATGCTGGTTTGTTGCTTTAAGCAAGTGTAATGCTTTTATTTTGTATTTGCCTTTGGTTTAATAGTAGTAGCTGACTTTTCCAAGGAGCTGAGTATTTTACAGATGCCAGTTAAGCTTGAGAGCATCCTTTTTCTCTTAGGAGTTTGCAGATGATGTCACCTCTTGTAAACAATGTCCCGTGTAAACAGAAAAGTAATTGTCTTTTCACTTATAAGTAATATTAGCAAGTTGCTCTAAAAGCTTTTGGTTGTCAAACTATTTTTAAAATACATTAATGCTAACAGTCCATTTTTACAAAATTAGGATTGGGCTCTTGGAGTTCTGCATGCCAAAATAATTGCTGCCATAACACTGATGGGTCCCCAGTGGTGGCTGAAAACTGTTATTGAACAGGTAGGAAAAAATTGTCCACGTGAATTATCTGTGTAATACATTTTGAATGGTTTTTTGCATGTGCAAGTCAGAAAATGGAGTTACTGTTGTAGTAATGGTGTAATTTGAGTAACTGAGTAAAACTCTGCTAATCTCATGGAATCCTTTTAGATTGTGTAGCCTAATCCTTCAAGGTACACTTTTAATAAAACAAAAATAAACCTCAGAAATCTGAAATCAAATAAATGCTGCATATATATATATATGCAATTTTATCAGGTTTGTACTGAAGTGAGAAACATCATTATTTCTTAAGATGAATTCACATGTGTCCAAATACTGGACATTATTTATGTTCGCCACTCAAGAACGGAGAGTTTCTGCCTTCTCCAGAGCTGTAGAGATTCCCTCATTCACAGATGAGTGCTTTAAACTAGATTCGAAGGGGGATGGG